AAAAAAAAAAAAAAAGAACGTTTCCAAAGACAGGAGTATAGAGGTATGAAGAGGGGGAGGAGGAAGAGGACGAGGAAGAGGAGAGGGACAAAGGAAAGGAGGGCAGACTTGACGAGGAGGACGAGGAGGAGGAGGGGTAGGAGGAGAGAGATGAAGAAAAGGAGGGCGGAGTTTGCCCTACTTTTCTTCCTCCCTCTCCTCCTACCCCTCCTCCTCGGCAAGTCCACCCTCCTTTCCTTTCACCCTCTCCTTTTCCTTGTCCTCTTCCTCGCCCTCTACCTCCTCCTCCTCCTCCTGTTCCTCACACCTTTATCTGTCGTCCATCCCATCATCCTTCTCCCCCTCCTCCTCCTCCTCATACCTTTTTTTTTTTTTTTTTTTTTTTTTTTTTTTAATGGAACATGCTCCAATCTGTTCGTGGGGAGCAGCACGTGTTGGGAACCGGGCCCAGCGTCCCATTTAAGATCATAATGAGAGATTGGGAAATTTATGGGAAAATCCTTGAGGTACCGGGGCCATTACCCGGCTTCGGCTAAGAAAAGCAACTGTGCACAAGAACACTAAAATTCGCTATCCTCCAAAGCTCAGATCAAAGGAGCATTCAGAATGAGAGAACCACCTGCTTTAGGGCCTTTCGGCAGCCCAACCCTACCTGCCTTACCCCTATATCCCGATGCCCAATCTCTACCAGGCCTCATGCCCCCAACTGCTAGATTACAGGGTGGCACGACCCACCCCAGAAACCCCCCATCTGCTGGGGAACAGGGCAAAGCGATCCGCCCCGGCTCCGGCCAACATCGACTAGCCCTCGACAACTCCCCAGATCTCTCTACCAGGTCTCAAGCCCTCATACAGCTTGAGTTACAGGGCAGCGCAACCAAGCCCCAGCACCGACCAGTGCCGTTCTGGCCTCGTCTATTCGCAAACCACCAGGACTCAGGACAAGGCAAATACCAGTCAAGCTACCAATCAGCACCATAGTTGTAGATCCCATCATTCATCTTGCAACTATCCCCCCAAAGAAACATTCTCAACCCTACTCCGGCAAATCTTACACGGTGAAGCCACCATCTTCACCGCTGCTGCACCCTATTTCAACCCTACAGGCTAGCCCGTTCGTCGCAGTGTGCGTCATCTCCCACTGTCACAGCACCACTACCCCCTGCCTTCAGCACCAAACCTTGGAAGAAATTTTCAATTACTAGGAAAACAGGATGTCAAAAAAATCCAAAAAATCACATAAGCATTTCAGCGCCTACTATTCCCACAGGAAGGGAATACCCCATGGAAAGTCCAGCGCCTATTGAGGCCTCAGTTACATGAAAGGGGTCACAAGAACCGAAGGGATTACTCCTCTCCCCCAAAAATCCCGTGTTTCAACGAATCTTCGGATGAAAGAAATACCTACCTCCTCCTCCTCCTCATCCTCCCCCCCCTCTTCTTCTCCTCCTCCTCCTCGTGTCTCAATCGCGGGTGTCTATCCCACCATCCTCAATCCTCCTCCTCCTCCTCCTCCTTCGGATGAAAAAGAAATTCGATTTCAATTTTCAAGAAGTCGACAGTGAATGTCCTTCGGGACATCTGTTGCAAAGCTTGAAATTGAACGATACAGAGAAGACTAGCATGGCCCCTGCGCAAGGATGACATGCATGAATCGAGAAATAGTCTGCATTTGGAAAAAAAAAAAGGAGGACGATACTATCACTCACCCCACCATATGGTAGTGTGGTAGACCCTACAGACTGCAGGTTCAAGTTCACACCCCATCATAGTCTAACAGCACCCCCATGAAACTAAGAAAGGTCCATCACAACCCAAACAAATATATATTTTCAATCGTGAGTGATCTGATGAATTCAAGTTCCTTCTTGCTTTTCCCTTTCTTCCCCTTCTCCCCCCCCACCCTTCTGCCCCTTTCCCCTCCCCCTCACTTACCCCTTGCCCCTCTCTCCCTCCCTTCCCCCCTCTCACCACAATGCCACCACCATGATCGTCGAATAGCTGAATGAGGTTTGTGCATATGCTGCTTGCAGGATGTATTGCCAAAGATTGAGTTTCCTTGGAAGAATATTTGGATCCTTGCTGCTGTCTGGGTCACATTTCTAACAATTCAGATTCTAAAGGTGGGTTCTCTCTTTTTTTGCATGGCGAGATAAGTATGCTTGCGCTTTTCATTTTTTTCCCTTTTTCTTTCTTGTATTGAATTTTAGGTTGAGGCCAGTTGGCTTATGAGTATTCTGGTGGTGATATTATTCGTACACATTAAGAATAAAATCAATGAATTACATTGATTTACAAACTCAATTATCATACTGTTTATTTTTAGAAAACATCTAAAAGTTTTCACTACTTCACTTGTAAAGAAATAATAATGAATGGTTATGATTCAAAATTTTGATCAAGAAATAAAATTACAAATTCAGATTCAATTTCATTTTATCCTAAGCTATCAGCCCGGCCACCCGGGTCACCTTGTTTTCCCGGGCAGCCTGGCTGTGCAAGGACCAGGGAAGGTCCCAGCAAAACAAAACAAAACCAAAAAAATCAAAAAAATAGGAAAAAAAATGGTATGCAGAAAAATAACCTGAACAAGTTTTGCCTCAGGGTCACATGGAAATTCCTTACCAAATTTAAAATTAAAAACTATTTTATTTTATTTATTTATTTGTTTATTAAATTTTATTTTTGGCCCGGCCGGGCAAGTTGTGAGGATTGAGCCCTCAAGTAGGGGCCTTGCCATGATGTACATGTTCTGGGCTAAGGCCCCAGCAAGCCTAGTGCCCACCCTAAGAGAAGGCGGGCCAGCAAATCAACAAGAGCCCTCTCGGCCAACATTTCACGAAGTGGGGTCTATACAGTTGCAGCACGCCAGTTGGTTGGAGTGCACCGAGTCTCGGATTTCAGCAAATGCTGAAATGCCCAGGGCCTCTGAGTTAGTTAGGCCCTGGGCACTCGAACGTGAGGCCGACAATGCATGCTGGGTAGAGAGGCCGAAATGCCAAAGGGAAAATCGGCCCACTATCTGAATCTGGCCGCAGGCATTGAGAAGAGAGGCGCAACTGCATTGCTCCGGGGCCCAACTGTATCGGGTAGGCTTCAGCCTCTGGGTCCCGGTCGCAGGCTGAAGGGAGGCCGCCCACATGCTGCATTGGCATATAGGCAAGCAGGGCGAGGCAGCAGGGATCTTGGCCAATGCTGGCACATGCGGGCACGCTGCGCGGATGCATGTGTGCTGCGCTGTGCAAGGCAGTGCTGCGCTAAGAGCAAGCAGGCCAGCGCTAGGCGGTAGGGCGCTGCCTGCACTGAGGGCACTGGCGGCCATAGCCTGGGCCGCAAGAGGGTGCAGSGGAGGTGAGGGCGAAGGTGGTACTTCGGAGGTGAAGGGCGCTGTGTGGGTAACAAGGGAGAGTGTGGGGAAGAGGACACGTACCTGGTGATGGTGGA